AATAGTAAAAAATAAGGAACAGCTATGTACATCAACAGAAGATGGTTGAATAAATTATAGCAGTTCAAACAACAAATATACTACTATCTCCATTAAAATAATGTTTTATTATGTAAAAGATGTTCCTAGTATACTGTGGTAAATTTACAGGGTTTTAAGAATTCTATATGTGTGTGTGTGTGTGTGTGTGTGTGTGTATCCATCCCAAAGTATTGATACTGCTTTTTCTTAGAATGGTGGGACAACGAACAATTTTACTTTTCTTTTTGCTTACCAATTATGTCTCTTTTCTGGTTTTCACTCAAAAGAAATCACGTATTTCTTATGTAATTTTTTACATTAATAAAAACTTGTCTGTTTAAAAATAATTATAAAAATTAAGGGGCAAACTGAGAAGTCTGCAAGAACATAACCAAAAGCTAAGAATATTTCCCATTTAAAGAACTTAATTCATTCACAAGAAAAATACAAGAATTCTAATAAGTGAACAAAGTAAAAGAATAATTAAGAGAAAAAATGAAACATACAGAAAAAGTCCCAATCAAATAAGTGTAAAATAAGACAACATACTTATCCTTTTATTAAAGTGAAGAGGTGTTTGTTTTAAAAAACACAATATTAATAAAACATGGAATAATAGGCATTCTCAAAACCCCACACCATTTAATCCGGTCACTTCACTCTGGGATTCTAGCCAAAAGAAATACTCCAAACTATGGAAAAAGCTTCCAGGAAAAGACGTCCATCACAATGTTCCTTGTACAGATGCTCCTCGACTTATGCTGGGTTTAGTCCAGATATGCCCATTATAAATAAAAAATACTATAAGCCAAAAAATGCATTTAATGCACCTAACCTACCCAACACATAGCTTGCTTAGCCCAGCCAGTTTCCACTAAACGCGTATACCTTTCACATCATTATAAAGTCAAAAAATGGTAAGTCGAAACATATATCAGAGACTGTACAAAAAACAATGGAAATATAGAACATTATTTGGGGGCCTAAATACTAGAAGCATCCAAACACTGGAAGCATTTCAAAGAGAGCTCACCCCCTTTATAATGTTTTGGCTAGAATGTAAGGCATGCAGTGATGTGAAGAACTGGTCGCTCAGCCCGACTCATGTACCTCAAAAGGATGATCCCAGTCCTAGGGGACTATCAGAGGCTATTTTATGTTATAAAAATCTCATTCTTTTCACAGGAAAAAAGTTATTTACTAGCAAAAAGAGATTATTCCAGACATAAAATCTAAAAAAAAAGAAGGGCACAGAGGATCAAGAAGCGGACACAGATGTTCTTTCCTAGGAGCTGCCAGGCCATTCACTATTTCAATGTCTGCAGGTGCTCACAACAAATTCTGGTACATTCTTGACATTCCATGCAGAATTCGAAGAAATAAAATTTGTACATATTTATTTGTAATGCATGGTGCTTTTATGTCATTTTTAAGGAAATAAGTCTGATTTCTACTATTAGAACTAGTGAGAAAAACACATAATCACCTTGAATCCCTTTGAAAATAAGGCAGAATTAGCGCCGGCCGGTGTGCTCAGCTGGTTGAGTGTAATCCAGTGCACTGAAAGGTTGTTGCATTTGATCCCCAGTCAGGGCACATGCCCAGGTTTCAGGCTCAATCCCCGGTGGGGGTGCGTGTGCAGGAGAGAGCTGGTCAATGTTTCTATCTCACGTGGATGCCCCCTACCTCCCTTCCTCTTTCTCAAAAATAAATAAGTAATTAAAAGAGGCTGTATGCTACAATCCCATAGATAAAAAAAAAACCTATTCATGGAAGAAAAAAACCCCAAAATATTAATAGTTTATTCATTCACTCATCAAAACATATAAATTGAACACCTGTTACATATTAGGCACTGTGCTCAGCACTGAGAGATATAAACTGGCAAATACAACACTTATGGTCACTGGCATCCCAGAGCCTCCATTCTAGTGGAAGGGAGCAACACCAACATTCAAATAAGCATATGCATGTGGGTGACTCCTCTCCCTCAACCATTTTTCCTCACTTTTCTTCTGTTTACTAGCAGTCATTCTTATGAATGTTCCCTTTAATAATATTCTTTTTTTTTATCCTCACCCGAGGACATTTTTCCATTTTTTGTTCAGATAGAGTGGGGGGGGGGGGTGGAGAGAGAGAAACATCGACGTGAAAGGGACACATTGAGTGTCTGCCACCCATACGACCAACCAGGGCCGGGGACAAACTGCAACCGAGGTACATGCCCTTAGCGGGAACCAAACCCGGGTCTCTCTGGACCGCAGGCCGACACTCCAACTGCTGATCCAAACTGGCCAGGGCAATAATAATACTCATTTTTACATGACTTGACTTTCCTCGACTGGTCACTATATATCAGGTTCATGTCTAATTCAAAGTGCCAGAAGTAAAAAGCAGAATGCTCCCTATTAATTAAGTTCCATAAAAGAGTCCTAGAGAAGATCAAGACAATCTGTTTTGCATTTGCATAATGTAACTGTCATAGCTTTACAAGTGCCCTGGCAGATGCCAGCCCTGAACAGTGAACATACTACCACCACCAAGTCTGCACACATTCAGAGAACAAACCAGAATAAAAACACTGACAACATAGACGTGTGAATAGTAATTATAATTAGCCCTTTCTAAAAGAAAAGGTATATGTAATAGTACATAACAGAGTAACAATTTAACTCAAGTCTTTTTTTCTTTTTCTTTTTACTCAGTAAAGCATAAAGCAGAGACAATACTTTATCCTAGGTTAACATGCAATTAAAAAAAAAAAGTTAATGTACATATTAAACATAGAAATTCACCAGTAAAATCTTATTTGTCATTTCCCCCCCAACATATCTTGACATTATTCCTTCACTTCTTATAAACAAGGTCCTACTACTGGTCACCCAATGCCTTACTCCAATCTGCCATTCCCTCCCAACCTGAGCACAAACATAAATACCCCCAATCACCCATGAAGTTGTCTTACCAAGAAGGCCCAAAGCACTACATCCCTAGGTACCTAGCACATCAGCACTGATCAAACATGAAAGCACCCAAGTGTTCTAAGATCATCACTTTTTGCAACATTCCTTGAGTATAAAATCTTACCAGGATACAGAGAAACACAAGTACATAAAATGATAAAGAAACAAGACACATTTTCAGCTTCTTGCATACAAAGCTTGAATCAAAATCTTTTATCGTGTTAGAAATTCCAATACAACAAACCTAGTTTGTTTGTTGTATTAAATGTGGTTTCAACTATGTCGATATATATAGGGCTCAAATGGGACAGGGAAGTTATACAAAGAGACTAGTTGGAGCACATTTTCATCTAGGTTTCACCAGGAAAATACAATAAGCAAGGAAGACTAATATCTACAAGAATTTGTCATATTTAAAACCATATAATTAGTGAAATGTATTTTAAGCGCAAATTAAAATTAGTATACATTTTTCATCTCTAGCAACCAAAAAGAGCCCTCACTAGACATAATTATAGCTTCCTCCTCGATGTGTTATACTGAATATTAACCCAGAAAATATCTTTAAAAGTGCTCTGCAAGTATCACCTCATTTCAAGGAACCATACAGGGACATATTGTAAGAAAAGGCTATTTGAATCTAAAGAACTAGTTTCAAGCAAGAAAATAATTACAGAAAGTGTGCATATCATTAAAGGTAAGAAGTCTGGGGGAAGATAAGAGAATACACTACAATAATTTAAAATCATATGCACATTTCATTTTCCATGCAGGATGATTTAAAATAGGAACACAATGTAATTGTAACTCACTGAAAATACAGTCAAGTCTTTGCCCTTAGTTTAGTCACACTCAATGGTTTAAAAAAAAATTAATAGAAACAATGTATAAAAAACATAAAAAGGTTCTACCAAATATTTTGGTTTCTAAGTAGAATCTAAACAAAGAGGAAGGATTTTGGTGTGCACACACAGAATGGCTCAAGAGCTAAATAGTATGCACGACTCCAAACTGCTAACCACTAAATATGAGAATTAAGAGGCTACTCTGATGCCAGCAACCAACTTTTACTAAGGTTTTACAACACACAATATAATTTTCTGTGTTAAAACTATTTTTAAAAACAGAAACAGAGTTCAGTTTTCTAGTCCCTGCATTAATTGACATCAGGATCACAAAATATTTGTATTAGAAAAGAGAAAAATGATTTCATTCATGTTTCCTTTAGTTTGCCGAGAGTTATGATGGGTATTTTTCATTTAAATACTTTTTACTCAAAGCAGAAACTGAGAATTAGAAACTGATGACAGGGCTGTGTCATAAAATAGGCCAAGCACATACACACAATTTATTAGAGGACTCACAAATCAACATTTTAGGCACTTCTTGAGTACAGACTACGGACATTATCTACCAAAGAACTATTTAGCAGGTTAAGACCATAAAGATTGAAGCTTTCGTTTTTAGAATATACAGGACCACATAATTGATAAGAAATACTGCATAATTAACCCAACTGTATCCTGGTACAATTTCTTTACAATTCCACTCACATATTTAGGGCTTAATAGAAGTAGTTACTTTTTATGTCTGCATCTACACAGTCAACACACAACAGTTGATTTTTCTATCTTTTAAAGCCCATTTCAACAGGTTTATTTTGTAAAGATAGACGTCTTGCCTGGCTGGTGTGGCTCAATGGTTGAATATCAACCCATACACCAGGAGGTCGCCAGTTCGATTCCCGGTCAGGGCACATGCCCAGGTTGTGGGCCAAATCTCCAGAGCGGGGCATACAGGAGGCGGCTAATCAATGTTCTATCTTGATGTTTCTCTCTCTCCTTTTCTATTCCTCTCTCTCTAAAAGCAATAAAGAAAAAATATATAAAAAATAAAAGATAAATAAAAGATAGCCTTCTCATTACTATTTCCTTTAGACAGCTAATGTTTATCTTTTTTAAGTAAACACGAGAAAAAAACAAAATGTGGTCTATGGTTTTATCGATGTCTTCAGGTTAAACACTATATATAAATTTGGTTTGACATCTTTTTCCAGTTGAAATTATTTGTACTGGTACTCTCCAAAATGTAACCCACTTTGGGGAATGGGAAGATAATACTCATATAATGTAGTCCTTTCCATATTTCCACGTCTAACTTTTTAGCTCAGAAAGCTGGCAGAATCTAGATAGTTCTCTTATCTTTCAGAATCTACTTTTCTGCATATGAAGCTAAAATTAAGAAACATTAAAATGTAAAATGCAGTATAATTTTTAAAATTCTACTATGGCATTTGTATGCTGTATACTCAGCAAGCTTGTCTTCTGACATACTCAGTAACTCTGACAATACTTTCTAATGCGCAAAGTGCCAATCTACAAATCAGATCAGTGGTGAGAAGATAGCAAAGACTAGAGAACCTACTTAGAAACTAGTGGTTTGGGGAACAGGGATACAGGCAAAGTTTAGAATACCTCCAGGACAGAGATATATATCTTCATTGTTGCTGAATAAAGATACAGGAGAGCAAGGTATGGCTGAGTTGTGAGAACGCTGTTCCTGAAGCAAGAAGTTCCAGATTATATTTAGACAGTGGGAGGGATCAAAGTTAAGTTATGCTAGAAACTGTGTCTCTACCCAGCCTTAAAAGATGGATCGATGCCAAGATACAACTGGGCAAATGAGATAATGACCCCAAAATCCACAGATGATCTGGAATGTGCTCCTATTCCCTATTTATATAGAACACACTACAGATACATTCCCAAAAATGCCTGCAGAGAAAACTAGAAAACTGTCTACAGTTTTTCTATTTACACTAATATAAACAGATTTCGAGGTTGTCTGTACTGCATGTGGTTGCTCTAGTAAAGTGCCTATAAGAGAGTATAATCGAATCCCATTTCTAGGCATCTTAATACTATGTACACTCAGGCAAAAAGAGAAAAGAATATCTTGGGGACTTCCTGATTTCCTCAAGCACTCTGCCCTTCTCTGTGATCTCACTGTAACCACCTACGAGGCACTTCTTAAAGGCCAGAAGACAGAAACTCTTCTACTCCATGACACATTTCTAAAAATCCCTTTAACTATCTGCATTAAAAATGCCAGTCAGCAGTGCTAAAACACTTCATTCTTAAGGCAAAATGTCATATTCCCTACCCACTTCCCCTGGCCCCCAAACTACCTGCCTTCATTGTACTCTTTGCCCACTGTGAGAGCCAAAGAAGACAGAACTGAAAACTTCAAACAAGAACTCAATATACTGTGCAAGATACATTTTATAAATGCTATTATGGCAAAATTGAACATAAATGCTTATACCATATGGCTACTTTTACCAAGATATCAAGAAAAGTCATCAGACTTTCAAAATTAGTATCAAATACGGGATATTTAAATCCAGCCACATGTACAGAGAGGTATGAAGCTTTGTTCTTTTCAAAGTTGAGCACAATGACCCAAAATAAAATGCTTGTTTACATCCAAGCGTAGTGTATTAAAAAACCCAAAGCACTGTCCTTTGTTTAAGTCCACTTAAACTACATATAAATTGTCAATATGACTATTCATGAGGCTCTCCATCTTATTTGGAAATAATACTGTTAAAATGATTTTGATGTATTTTCAGACATGAATTTAAATTACTTTCCCCATTTAATTTTGGTTTTATGCACAAATATATAGGTAACATTTCTAATGCTTAGCCTAGAATGGTAGAATATAAAAAAAATTTCCAAATGTGGTATAAGATTTCATGCATTCTCATAATGCCAAGTCAGTAATCTACTACACTAAACCAACTGCAACAATGTAGTGCACACTTTAAACATCCAATTAGAATACATTTTAGCCAACACCTTGATGACAAGGGAATGTGCTGGTATACTGCTGAACTGATGTGGTAGCAATCCAAGAGACTGAACTGTGATTACTCAAATTAACCACTAACAAGGTTAAAAGGTGTGGATTTGCTGGGCTACTATATAGAATATTTTTCCCTGATGAAAATGCAGTATCTACATCATAGATTTGGGTTTCTAAGAGAGTTTTTAATATATAACAATTCCTTATAGTGATTTGAAATAAAGTATGAGAACATATAAACAAATAAAGCTTAGTAATTTAGAATTTACTTTTGTAAAAGTTGACAAATAATAAAATGTTATACTTGCATTTTGAACATTATAATATAAATATAAAACATAAAACATCCAATGCTAAACACTGATCATCTCTCACGCCTGACTTAGACACTGAGTATTTTAATTTTGTAGAAAGGAATTTTCAAAGTTTTGTCAATGCTTATCGTATATATTATTCCTCATCAAAATCTTCATGAAATCTAAAAAGCTGATATAAAAGTAATTACTTTTTTCTTGAATATTCTAAAACATGCCAGTTTGGATTAGCATTCAGATTTTCAGGGATGGAGTACCCAAGAATATGTTTTAACACACGTAGTTCGGTGTCTACAGTTACAACAGAATGCCTTTGACTTTCAGATATTGAAAAAAAATTGCCGTCCTGGCCAGTTTGGTTCAGCGGCTGGAGCGTCGGCCTGCAGACCAGAGTCCCGGGTTCGGTTCCCACTAGGGGCACGTACCAAAAAAAAAAAAAAAGAAGAAAAAACAAAATTGCCTACATGAACACATTTGGGCCAAGATGCTTCTTAGTAAAAATGATGCATTATGCCTATCAATTTTTAAACCAAATTCTTTAGAGCATTAACAAAGTTTATATTTTATAATTGTCAAACAATACATTCACGTGGTGTAAGAGGATAAAAGATAGAAATAAAAAATCTCAAACTATTTCAAAAGTTAAGAATAAAGAATATTCAAATTAATAAAATATTTTTGTTGCTTGGAAAATATGCTCTACTTTTCATTTCAAATTCACTTTAAATGCTTGACATATAATTTAATACTTAATAATCTATCTAAATTATTTGATAATATTTATAAGGTGACACTTCTCTGGGTAGACATTTCACACAACAGTTTTCAATTAATGTTAAAAGTCAGTTGGTAATTGTAATCAGTTAATAATTGATTAGTGGACTAACAATTTACTCAGCAATTTAGATGGCAGAAGGTCTAATAAAGGGAACAATCTGATAACTGCTCACTGTGCAATTGTGCCCATCAGTAATACTAAGCCAAGAATTTGCTGGCACTCCCACTCATTACATGCTTCTAGGCACGTGATTTGAACAACAACAACAACAAAATAGGTACACAAAGTCAAACATTTTTCTTTTTTCTAAAGAGCAGCTCAATGATTTTTGGGGTTGGTTAGCACAATATAGAGAACATAGGAGAAAAGTACAAATTGGCACTTACACCAATGCCAGTATTAATCTCATCATTATAATTAAGAATATTATTAATTTTTGTTAATCATTTTCCTTTAGAACATAAATCAAAACCATTAACTTGAAGTTGAGGTATATACACAATACATACACAACCTTATGCAAAATACTTTTTATAAGTAACATTACATTTAAAAATATTGGAAACTGAGTATCTGTGCTGATTCGTATTTTGACTTAATGGAACAAAAAGAGAACATTCAACGAAAGAGGGTTATGCTGATAATAAAGCTCTTATAGTTTTTAAAAATGTCTTCCTCTCGCCCTGGCCGGTTTGGCTCAGCGGTTGGAGCATCGGCCTGCGGACTGGAGAGACCCGGGCTAGGTTCTCGCTAAGGGCATGTACCTCGTTGCAGTTTTTCCCCGTCCCTGGTTGGGTTGTGCTGGTGACAGCCACTAGATGTGTCCCTTTCACATCGATGTTTCTCTCTCTTTCTTCCTCTCTCTCCCTCCCGCTCTATCTGAACAGAGAATGGAAGGGTGTCCTCGGATGAGGATAAAAAAAATGTCTTCCTCTCCTTTGTACTTACCACAGGCTACACAATGTCCTGAGAGGATTCATTATGAGAAAAATGTCAATCACAGCTTTAAGACCTTGCTTTGGAAGAAACTAATGAGAAAGCAGTTGGAACGTGAGACTTCATCTTCATTTCAAACAAGTGGTCTTAATTTTCTTCTTATAGAAAAAGTTTAAATCAGTTTATTATAAATATATCTGAACCATTAATTTTTGCAGCTTTCAGGAAAGTCCAGCACTTCGTTTATACAAAGTCTATGAGAAGAAGTCAGTAGAGATCATCTAATCTTAAGTCGTGACATCATCCATTCAAGTCCTTGGCATAATCTAAACAGAAAATAAAATAATTTGATTAAATTATCAACTAAACAGCCATAAATAGCAAACTAAAACAGGATATCATTTTTTCACTTACCTCAACAACAAAGATTAGAAAACCAATGCTATTCCATGTCCGTGTTGTTGTGGAGTAGCCACAGACACAAAACATCCATACTTCCTTGTTTGCTTTGTCTCTAGTGTCTATAACACTGCCTGATACTTAAAAGCTCAGTGATTATATAAATGCCCATGGAAAGTAATTTAGCTATACATGTCAAGAATATTTAAAACATCAATACCCTCTATACCTTCTTCTACTTCTAGAAATATAGCCTAAAAAAAATAAGACATAAAGATGATTTATGTATGACTGTTGATCAAAAACATTTTTAATAGGATAAAGTATAATTTAAATGTATAGAAATAGAGAAAAATTTAACAAATTATGAAACATTCATTCATATGATGAACTATTATAAACTTCCTTTCAAAGGCTATTTTATAATATGATAAAAATGCTCAGGATTTAAATGAAGTAAAAAATGGCAGGATATTAAATAAACAGTAGAGCTCTTAAAACAAAGTATATACAACACATATAATATGTCTGCTACGTCTATATATTAACATTTTTTGAAGGAAGTAAAATCTCATATCACTAATACCAGCTACTGCTGAACAATGGGTAATTGACCATAATCCAAAATATTATAAAAAATGTTCATTGTGGTAAAAGAAAATAAATGTTTAGCAAGAGAAAAATGGTTGTACATATGTTACAACAAAATGACAACTGTTATGAAGCACTAACTATTATCTATCAAGAGCTTTTATAGATATGAGAAACCAAAAACTTAGATTTTTGTGTGAGTGTGAGACTAACATCTAAAAGAATATAAAAATAGAAGGAAAAAAAAGGCAATGAGGTAAATAAATAATTGTTTCAGTGTTGGCCCATAGTGTGCTAAGCACTTAATGTCTGTTATAATATTTCTTCATAACACTGAGATCTGAACCATTCCCATATTAGAGGAAACATGGGCTTAGAGAGGTTAGCAAATGGCAGAGATAAGTCAAAATGCTGACCAACACGAAAACCAAAAATTTAGACCAAGGTGGCCAGACTACAGTAGGGAAACATTTCCTCCAAAACCAGACATTTCCACTTGCTGACTGCTACAAATGGAAGCCCACGTACACCAAAAATGGAAAAGATACCATCAGGTATTGATTTGTCTTTCAAAAATGAACCTGCCTCAGTTCACATTCATCTTAATGATGTATTTTTCTACACAATTTCTCAAGGTATGTAAGTTAAATATTATATCAATCCTAGATGATTTGTCTTTGTTGTCAAATTTAGTATTACAATCAGTGTTTTTGCTTAAAGTCCTTTCATAAAGATAATATGTATAAAGATATATCTATAGATATCTTGACATGTATTAAACCATTCGACAAAGAAATATGTAACATTTTTACTTAAATGAATATGTGGACAATTGGTATAATTTATGATTTTTTTCTTAAAGTGAAAAGATTTGTTTTTTTGAGGTTCTACTTAAGCTCTCCAAATGTCTGTAATTAGATAATAGTGCCTTCTATTTCACTGAGTATGATTCAACTTCATCTCCAATTTAATTGTTTTTCCTTTGTTTTTAAAAGGTACATACATAATGAATTCTAAAGAGAGGTCTTAGTGTTGGGTTAAGGTTCTTGTGCTGTCAGGAAATGGCAGAAGCTTGGGGCATAAACAGATGAGTTAACTGAAGTGGGAGAAATTCTACCGGAGAACTACAACCCCAATTTTAAGACCTCTAGAATCCTTCATCTCCAATTTAATTCTTTTTTATCTGCTTTTAAATACATACCTATCTACCACATTTTGGAGAAACAACTACAACAAAAACATTATTTAGCTTGCTCAGCCTTTTAGCTTTTTATCCTGTTTCTAACCTCTTCTATTCCATTTCTCCTAATAGCTCTCTCTCCATCTTTCTGGTCATTGACTTATATTTAACAATGCTGACCACCACTTCCTTCTTAAAATCCTTCATCTCTGGGCATTAGACTAGGGCAAAATTCTACTATAGGCACCTGCCTTTCTCACCGGAACCAAAGACCCTCATGCCACTCTTTCCCCAATTTGAACTCATTTTTAAGTGCAACAGCTCCCTCTTGACAACACTGATGGCAAAAGTGAGTATACCCAACCAGTCTCACACATGAATCCTCTTCTATTTCAACTTCTTTATGCATCGAGTGTGAATTTAAAGCAATTGGTCTACATGATTGTTAGTAATAAGTGACACCCTGTAAGGAAAACACTCAAGACACAGGACAGGCTCAGCAAGCGTCAGTTCCTTTCTTATAGTGAAAGTCCCACCACCATTAAGAGCTGTTTTCCGACTTTTCCAGTTCTCCATGACATTCTAATTTCTCTGACTTCATACAGCAACTACAATCTAATGTCCACTTATTAGTTCAGTATACGTATGTGTACATGTGTTTTATTCTTTACAGAACCAAGTTAACAACTCTCTAATGCTAGACATGGATGTCTTACATCTCTCCTTTATAACATTCTGTACATGGTAACCTTAATATTTTATTTTAAGAAGAAATTTATATGTGTAAGCTAAAGACATGTTATCCATGAGGAAGACTTCTTACCCCTCGCCAGTAAGAGCACAGCATGCCTGGATATGCCACTGGTGATCTTTAATAGAAGTTAGTTTCAAAAACTGGGAGATTTCTGCTACAGTCATGCATTCTTTAACATCTTGTTTATTAGCAAAAATCAGCAATCCAGCTTTCCTTAGATCCTATAAAAGCAAATAAAACCATAAGGGCCAGTGCATTGTTTTCAGAGGTTTTCTAACTTAATGGGCAGAATATTTCTGATAATCTTAATAACCTAGAATTTCTCAACTACTTGACATAAAAGCATCTCACAGCTCTTATACCAATGGAAGGTAAACTCCAAGCTGAACACATTTTAAATAAATAAATAAATCTATACTTGTATGGATTTATATATTTCTCATTTTATAGTCCTAGATGACATTTATGGTCCTAAGTGCTATATTTAACAAACAATCATGTCTTCAAATACGTAACTACCCATTCCACCATCCCCAAACTAGGCTTCTATGGCTACTAAGAACTACTCTTTAGCATGGCACTCAAGAGCTTTTCAAAATTCTACTGCAACCTATACTTTAGGTATAGTTACCTATACCTAAAGCTAGTACCTTCTAGGTGCATAGGAAATAAACTACAGTATTCATTATATACAATATATGCCTTAGAGCTTTACAGCTTAATTCTCAGTTGAATGGTGGTATCCTAAAGCAATCCTATCATCTTCTGAGACCTAGCCTTATCCATGAAGACGTCTTAGATTTAAATATCTGATATGGCCATCTTGGATTGGCATTAAACTTATCAAATTTCCCAATTAGAGAGTAAGTTCTACCACTTCTATTCTTTGACTCTGAGGCAAGTTCTTTAACCTTTCTGAATTTGTTCCTCATTACCAACATTTATTGAATATCTAACTTGAGCAAGCCACCCATCATCATACTAACCTTTTTCTAAGTAAAATCTCTTTAACCCTCACAAGATTGCTATAAGGTAGGCTTTACTATTCCCATTTTACAGATGAGGACAGATGTAACACATACAAGGTTATAGAGCTACTCAGTAACAGTTTAAGCTGAAATCTTCCCATTATAGCTGCTGCCACTCATCTGTAAAATGCTGAGACTACCACCTACCCTTTAGAGATGTGGTTTGAATAAATAAAGTATTATATTTAAAGCACTAAGTTTAGTACCTGGTTTTGGTGACAGTTTAACAAATGTTAGTTCATTTATTGCCCTGGAAATAAGAATTACCTTTACCCTTGTGCATGCCCCAAAATGATTAGTGTATTTTATTCACAACACAGACCAAGGTTCTCAGCCTCCTGACTCTACTTTACACTTGCCTCTTGCACCCTTTTTACAGTCAGGAACTTCCCTGATAATCTACTGAAAGTTACAGACCCTTTCCTCATAAAAATGCACATTTGTATATATGCAAAAAAAATTATGTACTATTTTAAAGTGTTAATAGATACCCTAAAATCCATTCACAGATCATGGGGCTAAGAATCCAAGATGGATACACTCAGTGGATTAAACTCTCATAAAATTCTTCATATATATATTAACAGACACTGTGGTTTTGGTGCAATGCTTTTAAGTTTTCTCAACTGTGTTGAATGCCATCTTTCTTCTTAGGGATTTTGGTTTCAATCATGTGTATATGTGTTTGAAACAGGAAGGTCTTCGGTAGGTACAAACTGACATTGCTCCACATTATTTTAATCTTATTAAAATACAGTTTCATTGACTTCTTTCTTTCTGATGTAAATAAAAAATGTAAGTGGTAAAAGGACAGGTAAATGTTTTATATTAACAGCGGAGACTGACTTTTAGTTGCAGTGCCCTCTGCAGGACGGCAGCTATGGTACTCAAGTTAATGAGTTACTGAATAACATGGTCAGAAAGTTAACTCTAGAAGGTTAACTTTTAGGATTTTGCAATGAATGTTTCACCTATATTTCAGTTTACTGTTTATAAAAAGGCAAAAATCTGAATGGATGGACTATAACTAGTGTATATATATTCATTATCAAGGATACAGGTGTTTTTTTCTTCCTATCTCCTAAACAGATATGGAACAGTATTAATAGTTGATATGTGGCTGAATCACTGAGTAGACAGACTTTCCACGGATTTAATTCCTATCTTCCTATCTTCCAGGTTTCAATATCTCTCGTTAGTGTCTGTTGAAACCTTTATATAGGTCAGGATTGCTGATGCTGACACATTAAACAAACAAAATTTTGACAACAGAAATATGTGGCACAAGTTAGGACACATAGGTTTATACTATCTTATTTATAAATAATCTATATTCCTCATTTTTAGTGATTAAGTTATTTGGAGATGCCCCTGGACTACAATTTGAAAAGCGTAAGAAATATAGTCTTTGTTGAAAGATCTCAAAAAAACAAAAAAAACCACCATATTGAATATAGTCTTTCTAGATCTCATAGTTTAAACTTTTTTATTTGGGGTTCTTGATTAAAAATAAAAAACTCAACAGCTATTTTACCTGTTTTTAAATATTTAGGAAAAGAGGAAAGAAAATAGTCCTTTACATTATTGCTCAGCACCAGTTATGCATTATGATAACAGTAAAAAAAGTTATACTGGATTAAGGCTGTTCATCAACTTGACTTACTAAGTGGTCAAAGTACAAGGTGAACAGCGGTGATCTTTTGTACATCAGCCATTTTAAACACTTTAAAAAACATTCTGCTACACATTGCAGATTTCTGGTCTTAAGAGTCTAAAAATATTTTAGTTTAGTCACGAAGATGAATAACAACACGTGCAAGATATATTTAGTTAGCATCTTCTATAGACCATATATAGTTATCAGTTTGTTCCTCAAAGTTTCATTTATGAAGATAATTCCTATAAGTTGAGTTATTCTGAATAAAATTTCATCTGTCCTTTTGTGTTTGGAACTATTTTAAAATTCATGAACTTCAAAGTTTCGCATTTCATTTAAGATACAGAACTATAATATTATATAGTTCTGTATTTAGTAATACTTGTAAAGAATCATTATCAGTGATGGTGATAAGATTTTGTTGGTGATTGTGATATGCACAGAACATGTTGACTAATCCCATGTCAAAATCTGTTCTCATTAACACTGTCTTGTTCTTGGAATCATTTGTTTCCCCTCCAGAACTCTATTTGGTTCTTCTAAACCCTTTAAAGTGACTTACTCTAGTTCCCAACTTCATTTGTAAATTCCTTTCTTCTCTGGTAATCTCCCCATTCAGTTTCCTTCCACTTTCCAACTTGGCCCTATTTGTCTTCCCCACTCCACCCCCCCCCCCAACCCTCTCTTCCAGCAAGAGCCTGAATGATGAGAATGCCTAAATTCAAATCTTGACTCTTAAAAACCTGCTCGAGTCACATATTGACCTGCCCAAGTTAATGCCCCCAGCAAGTAAAATCCAGTGACTTTGTTTGAGCCATATTACTTTATATACTGATCCTGCTACACACTGGCCAATGAAGAGTTAGAATCTGCCCTGGCTGGTCTGGCTCAGCAGTTAGAGCATCAGCCCTTGGACCATAATCTTCAGTTTGATTCCAGGCAAGAGCATGTACCTCCGTGACAGTTAGATGTTCCCCAGCCCTGGTTGGGGTTGTGCGGGAGGCAACCAATCGATGTGTCTCTCTCACATCAATGTCTGTCTGTCTGTCTGTCCGTCTGTCTCTCTCTCTCTCTCTCTCTCTCTCTCCCTCCCTCCCTCCCTCTTGCTCACTCTATCTGAAAATCAATGTAAAAATATCCTGAGGTGAAGATTAAAAAAAAAAAAAAAGAGTAAGATTCAAATAGGGAAGTTACCTGTTAACAGAGTAAAAAATATAACCAAGACAAATATGTATGTCTGTTTTCCTTTTCCAAAGTCTTCATAGAACACCATAAAACAACTCTTTGGTATAAATGAAAAAAGGTTGCATTTTTATAAAATACAAAGGGGAAATGAAAAAAATCCTTAGTGTTTTGCCTCCTATATATAGCTTGTTTCCCAAACCAAACAGAAACTTGTTAAATCATGCACAACAGCAAGACGTGTGTGTGTGTGTGTGTGTGTGTGTGTATTTAAATGAAAACCCCAAAGGATTTAACACATCTGCCTGAGTCAGTCTTAAACAGGGTAAAGTGCATCTTGGTGGGCATGATCACAAGGAAAACAGAAGCTTCGATTTACATAACCACTTTACCAGCTTTCCTTAAGTCCTGTACAGGTGCCTGAAACATACCAAATTCTTAATGCAAATCTCAAAAGCAAATAATCAAATCAACATTAAAATAGAAAACTTTATTACAAAGCTATCCCAGTTTTCTTAAGCTTTATTAAAATTCCATTAAAATAAAAATGATATGTAATATACATCTAAATATTCATGTTTCTATTTCCACCTATAAATGAGTTAATTTATGCAATAAAAGCATAAAACTATAATCAATTGCTACTATCATAAATATTATGACTTTATAGTTACTATTATCATTTACTGACTATATTATTCAGTTTATTCAATTTTTAAATTAGGCTACCAGCAATATTTCTCAAGAATTAAGAAAATGTGGATAATCAAATAGTTTTGTTTAGTCAAAGGACAATATCAGAGCAACCTAAGAGCAACCACATTTAAATATTAGTCTAATAAGTGAGTACAATCAAGACTTGCCATGAGTCTGTGAGACTTTAAAATCTCATTTCCAATGATAATCCTCTGCATAATTAATCTATTCAAAATGTAAAAGAAAAAATTTTGGTCTTTTTGCTCAGGAAAACTTCTATACCAAATTGATCTGGGATACATGAAATAAAATTCTACAAGCGACTCCACCATCTTTCTGCTGCTTCCAGACACTTCCAATTTGGAAGTGTCCAAGTTAAAAAGAAGGCATGGGCAGCAGATAAATAATTTTTTTAAAATTTTGAAATAGTACCCTTCTGAGAAAGGAGAAAGAAGAAATGTAGAAAGATAGAAATATCCCACAAACACATCTGATGCCAGAATCCTACTTACCTCGTGGGCTAACATCTTATAGAGTTCTTCTCTAGTTACAGAAATCCTCTCTCTGTCTGTACTGTCCACCACAACTATTACAAACTAAAATAATTACAAAAATATTATCATTAGTGATTACATAATTTGATATTTATAAAATGTATAAAGTGCTTATTTGATTTACAGGCTATTAACTGTCAAGGAATTAGAACCTTATGTTACAGTAGTATTGGAAAACCAGAGACACCTATTGATACATCATGAAGCCTAAAGGTTTGATCCATTTCTAATTCAAATATATTTACTAAATTTAAGATAAAAACAGAAGAAAACAGAATGCATACTAACATTCTATTAGAGTATTCTGCTAACATTTTAACCACCATGTAACACATTTGTTCTCTAACTTAGTATCGTGAATGCTCACAAGACTATATCAATCTATTTACAATATAAGTCAATAAGGAAAAAATATATTATGGTTGTAAATTTAAGTTACTTCTAGACAGACATTATTATATTAATATCAATTTGAAAAGGGCATGAGTATGTGAGTAAAGTAACATGACGGTTAAAGAAATAATTAAAAAGAAAAAAAAAATCAACAAATTGCAAGAACAAATCTGTATCTAAAGCCAAGCTCTCTTCCTTATATCAATGGCACCTCTACCAGCAAGCACAACTCTCTCCTGAACTGACGAGACTAGGGTCAGAAGGTGCAGTGAAAGCCCTGTAAAGGAGCTGTGCAGGCCTGAGCTACTCTCACCACTCCCTCCACTCCAAGCCCACAAAAAGGAATACAGGAGCAGACATAGTCACTTTACGATGGCATTTGTGATGCCCAAATTAATTCTGACTGCCTATTATTAACAGGCACTATTTATTTTTTAGAACTAGCTTTGCATTTCCAAATAAACCACTATAATTTTCAGAGTCTTTTCTATTCTTCATATTTCATGAACTGTAAGGCTTATGGATAAGGGAATTATTTTACCTCTTCTCTCACTTGATACCTTACTGATATGTGGCTTTATTACTGTAAGACTCATTCTATTCCAAGGTATTTTAATAAAGCTATTAATTTTCAGAGTGTTGCCATGAATCTGATACCTGCAGTGTTCTATTTAGGAATAGTAACCATACCTACCTTTCTTTCTCCAAAGAACACGATCAAATGTATTATGGAGTGTTAGGGGATCCGATCATTAGAAACATTTAATTGTGTCTTAATGACATAATATTCATCTTTGTATACATTTGGAATTTTATTAACTTAGAATCAGCACTATAAAAGTAATGAACTCTGAAATGTCACTGGTCTGAAATTTCCCCTTGAGAAATAACCTATATATTTACATGGTTTTGTCTAAATTGCTTTAGAAATAAAAGAAAATAAATTCTTCAATGTGCAACTGTGTTGCATAAAATAAAATACAGGGTAAAATTTTGGCCAGGATCGAAACCACCAGATTTTACCTAGATTTCCTCTACACAAAAATAAATAGTAAGAATGAAATGACATTACAAACTGTAAGACAGAATTCATTTTTATAAAAACAACTACTTGAGACAAGTTTTGGGATCAAAACACAGTCAGACTAATCAATCACCAATTTTCCCTCCAGAGAGAGGTTTAATGGATATACAGAATAATGACTCTGAAACAGGGAAACAACTATTCCACTATGTTTACACTCTACCTATATTAACATCCTGTGATATTTTAAAAAGGTTAGTAAGAGTTCATATCTAGAAGGTTTTTCCCAAGCATTCTGCTCATAAAAGTTCTAGTATATTAAGAAACATTACCTCTGTGTTAGTATAGTATGTGTTCCAGGAAGAACGAAGAGATTCTTGGCCACCAATATCCCACATTAGAAATCGTGTATTATTAATCACTATCTCTTCTACATTACTTCCTATTGTAGGGGATGTATGTACAACTTCATTCATAGAACTGAAAAAAAAAAAAAAAAGTTTGAATATATTATAATTAACAAGGAAGTTAGATGGAATATGTTTCAATCAAGGGGTAAATCAGCATGACCTTTTGTATGTTATACCCAAATGTCTCTTTTCCAGTAGCTCCTAAGAGTGAGCTAAAGGTTTAAACAGAGGTGGTACTATCTGTGAAACTCTAGATTCATACCAGGAAACTACATAAACACATATTTCTCTACTTTTTACAAGCAAAACAATTAAACAACTTGGTCAATGTCATATAAATGTCAACTCTGTAGAAACAGTTGCTTAAATTTGGCTCCTGGTTTATGGCCAACCTGCCACAGAGTAACTCAGATTCTATATAATTTTTTATTGTTTTCATTAATCAAATATCACCCAGGCAGAAAAAGTAACTATAAAATTATAAAGTACTTAATACTTACAATTGGTAAAGGATGGTAGTTTTCCCTGCATTATCCAGCCCAACAATGATAACTTTGTGCTCTGAAATAAACAAAACACCAGTGATTTATTCATTAAAAACAAAAATTTTAAATATTCTATTTCATCTCTTCTTTCCAGCTATGGTATAACCCAGTGCATGGCCCTTTAACCTTCCTAGAATTCAAAAAGAACATTCTAGCAAGACCAGAAGTGTGCGTTGGTCTCACCTTCCCCGTCTTCTGTGGAACAGTCTGAAATCTCTTTGGGGGGCATTCCAATGAGGAATCCATGATCCAGAGGATCTTCAATCTCTTCATCCTGCCTGAACACCTACAAGCCACATTCATTACCAACTTTATCCACTCTCTCCCAAGACTTGTCTCCATTTGAGTTTTCATGTTTTGGTTTTCTTTTTTTATAATAACGCACCAATGGCTATTTTTAACAGCTTCCTAATTTTAAGGTATAACATGTAGATCACAGTGAGAACGACAAAATTACGACATAATTGTGGAATGGGCTCAAAGATAAAGGTGCCAACTCAATGGTTACAAAAAGCCAGTTTATTCCCCAAAATAGGGTTATATTATTCACATTTTTTAATACAGGCATACCTCAAAATACTGCAGGTTCAGTTCCAGACCACCACAATAGTGAATGTTGCAATAAAGTGAGTCACACAATTCTTTTGGTTCCCCGGTGTACATAAAAGTCATGTTTACATTATAATGTAGTCTATTAAATGTACAACAGTATTATGTCTAACAAACAATGTAACATTAAACAATACTATACTGCTAAAAAATACTAACCATCATCTAAGCCTTCAGTGAGTAGCGAGTAGCAATGTTTTTGCTTGCCTAGACTGTAATGGCTGCTTACTGATCAGGGTAGTGGCTGCTGAAGGCTGGAGTGGCTGTGGCAATTTCTTAAAATAAGATAACAATGAAGTTTGCCGTGGGATTGACTCTCTTTCATGAACAATTTCTTTGTGGTATGTGATGCTGTTTGATAGCATTTTACCCATAGAACTTCTTTCAAAATTGGAATCAATTCTCTCAAACCCTGCCTTGAATCAATTACGTTTAAGTAATACTCTAAATCCTTTGACACTTCAACATTTTTCACAGCATCTTTGCCAGTAGATTCCATCTCAAGAGAGCATGTTCTTTGCTCATCCTTAAGAAGCAATTCTTCATCCATTAAAGTTCTATCATGAGAGTGTAGCAATTCAGTCCCACCATCAGGCTTCACTTCTAATTCTCGTTCGCTGACTAGTTCTAACACATCTGCAGTTACTTCCTCCACTGAAGTCTGAACTCTTCAGTCATCCGTGAGGGTTGGAATAAACTTCTTCTAAACTCCTGTAAATGTTGATATTTGAACCTCTTCCTATTAATCACAAATGTTCTTAACGGCATTTAGAATGATGAATCCTACCCAGAAAGTTTCAATTACTTTGCCCAGATGCATCAGAGAAATTACTATCGATGGCAGCTATAACCTTATAAAATGTATTTCTTAAATAAGACTTGAAAGTTGAAATTAATCCTTGATCCATTCCGCAGAATGAAGTTTGTTAGCAGGCATGAAAACAACATTAATCTCACAGTACATCTCTATCAAAGCTCTTGAGTGACAAGGTGTGTTGTCAGCGAGCAGTAGTATTTTCAAAGGAATCTTTTTTTCTAAGCACTAAGTCTCAACAGTGGGCTTGAAATATTCAGTAGACCATGTCGTTTATAGAGAACAGGTAGAGTAGACTTGGCATAATACTAAGGGCTCTAGGATTTTTAGAATGGTAAATGAGCACTGGCTTCAAATGAAAGTCACCAGCTGCATTAAACCCTAACAAGAGAGCCTGTTCTTCAAGTTTAAAGCCAGGCACTGACTTCTCTCTAGCTATGCACGTCTTAGATGGCATCTTCTTTCAATATGAGGCTGTTTCATCAACATTGAAAGTCTGTTGTTTAGTGCAGCCACTCTCATTAATTAACTAACCTAGATCTTCTGGATAACTTACAGCAGCTTTGACATTAGCACTTGCTACTTCACCTTGAACTTTTGTTATGGAAACAGCTTCTTTCCTTAAAGGTCTGCTAGCTTCAAACTTTTCATCTACAGCTTCCTCACCTCTCAGGGTTCTTAGAATTCAAGGGAGTTAGGGCTTTCTCTGGGTTAGGCTTTGGCTTAAAGAAATGTCATGGCTGGTTTGATATATCCAGACCACAAAAACTTTCTCCATATCAGCAATAAGCCTGTTTCACTTTCTTACCATTCATGTTCACTGGAGCAGCACTTAATTTTCTTTAAGAACTTTTCCTTTTCATTCCCAATTTGGCTAACTGGTGTGAGAAGCCTAGCTTTTGGCCTTTCTCAGCTTTCAACATGCCTTCCTCATTAAGCTTAATCATTTCTTGCTTTTGATTTAAACTGAGAGATGTGCAACACTTCCTTTCACTTGAACACTTAGAGACCATCGTGGAGTTATTAATTTGCCTAATTTCAGTACTGTTGTCTAAGGAACTAGGGAGGCCAGAGGACACAGAGAGGAGGGAACCACCAGTAGGTGGAGTAGTCAGAACATACACAACATTTATTAAGTTCACTGTCTTACATAGATGGGCATTGTTCGTTGCACCTCAAAATAATTACAACTCTAACATCAGAGATCACTATAATAAATATAATGCTAATGAAAAAGTCTGAAATATTGCACGAATCACCAAAATGTGACACTGAGACACAAAGTAATAAAATGCTGTTGGAAAATTGGCACCTATAATAGAGTTGCTCAACAAAGGGTTGCCACAAATCTTCAACTGTAAAAAACACAGTATCTGCGATATGCAATAAAACGATTCTGTCACATTCACTATAGTTCTCTCAGGCTACTGCAGAGTCTGGAATAAAGCATGAACTTAATACAGTAAGAATAAATAAATAAATCTAGAAGGTATGTAAGTCACTACGTATTAAAAATTCCACTTTCAAATCTAAAAGTATCATCACTAAAAAAGTATGAAGATAAACTTGCTATTTATAGCAATGGTAGTAAAGTTTCAGGAGAAAAAACCAAACATCTTTTTTGCACTAAGAAATTGTTGAATGAAAAGTAATTGTTATACATGGGAAAAGCAGAGATTCAATCAGAAAACAGAAACCACACAACAATTTGAACGTTAAAGTTTAATTTAAAGAAAATAACTACTACAGGCAGTTCAGTAAAGGACTGGCTAATAAGAAATAACTAAAGATTACAGGAATGACAAATATATGGAGCATTAACTACCCCTAGGACTATCACAGAGCTTCCTCCAGTTCCCCAGGACTGAGATGCAGACTTGGCTGGAGGGTCTGGCTATGGCTCACTGAATGTCGTAGAGAAGCTATGCAGACTTGCCAGTGGATCATGCTGAGAATCGTCCCCCTCTAGGGTGCTGAGGAAAGCTGATCACTGGAAGGTATTTTGCTGGAGTCCCCATTCTGAAGCCAACAGAAGTGGGTGTTGGGGAAGCTGCTGGCTGCTGCTAACCACTATGCAGTGCAAGAACCTGCCACTGGTGAAGGTGTTCACACCACAAGAGCAGGACAGATCCTGCTGAGAGCACACTTTACCCAGAAAGAAAAACCCTTTCCTCCTGCAGCATCCCTCCAATGCTATGTAGTACTGACAAAGCTTAACATTCTGTCAGATGGAAAAAGAAAAATAATTAAAGGACCCAGCTCCATATCTACAGGGCATGTACAAACAGTGAATTTGGAGCTAAATTTTTAAATAACTGGCACAGTCCACCTCTTTAGCTACTGTTTCTGTATGTGCTCTTCTACAGTTTGAACTCCCATACAAAAAAAAAAGCAGAGGTGGCTTTCCCAGCACTAGGCTGACAGCACAAGCAGCTCATTTCCAGTTTCTTTTCTAAGTACTAATCAGAATGATAGGTTATCAATGGGAAAATTTCACAATTTCTTTCCTAGTTCACATAGTGTCAGAAAGTTCTTCCCTTTATCTAACATGAATCCTTCTTATACAAAGTTTATTTATGTATTTATTTTTGAGAGCACTAACTCAGGCACCAGATATAAAATCCCAGGTCTATCACTTTTAATTGTAGTGCTTTAAGCAAACAAGTTACCTAATGCTTCTGTACCCCTATAAAATAAGGAAAATACCTACCTCATAGAGTTGTTGTGAAGGGTAAGTCAATTAAGTAAAGGCCAAATCAAATAATCAGCATACAACATTTAGAACCTACCCCTGCATAAATCAGGAAAAGTTAACTGCTGTTATTTTATCTATAGAAATGAAGTTAGTTTACTTTCTGTCTCCCCAAACAAGAACGAATGCTCTATAAAGGCAGGTCTTTTCCGTTTTGTTCCCTGCCTTGTGCCCACCACCTACAACAGTTCCTGACACAAACCAGTGCTCAAATATAATGGCAACTCTTCAAAGTCCTAAAAGACTTATAATTTAGTAACTGCAAAACAGTTAACGGCAAAAAAAAAAAAAAAAAAAAAAGGAATGATACCAATCTCTTCTCTAATCAAATATCAACAACATATTTTTTCAGTGTTTTAATATGCCTGAACCTGCCATTTACCAGTTGTAAGCTCAGGAAAATCACTCCACTTGCACCTCAGTTTCCTCTTTTCAGTAGAAAAGAGTAACTCCTTCAAAGGATTGTGGAAATTTTTTTAAAAAGTGATACATACATCTCAACACCAGGAAGAAAAACAATCCAATTAAAAAATGGGCAAAGGACCTGAATAGGCACTTCTCCAAAGATGACATACAGATGGCCAAGAGACATATAAGAAGAAAAATGCTCGCCCTGGCCAGTTTGGTTCAGCGGTTAGAGTGTCAGCCTGCGGTCCAGAGAGACCCGGGTTCGGTTCTCGCTAAGGGTGCGTACTGGGTTGCAGTCTGTCCCAGGCCCTGGTTGGTTGTGCGGGTGGCAGACACTCAATGTGTCCCTTTCACATCAATGTTTCGCTCGCTCTCTCTCTTCCTCTCTCTCCCTCCCACTCTATCTGAACAAAAAATGGAAAAATGTCCTCGGGTGAGGATAAAAAAAAAACAAAACTCGCCCTGGCCAGTTTGGCTCAGCGGTTAGAGCGTCGGCCTGCGGTCCTGAGAGACCCGGGTTCGGTTCCCGCTAGGGGCATGTACCTCGGTTGCAGTTTGTCCCCGGCCCTGGTTGGTCGTGCGGGTGGCAGCCACTCGATGTGTCCCTTTCACGTCGATGTTTCTCTCTCTCTCTGTTCCTCTCTCTTCCTCCCACTCTACCTGAATAAAAAATGGAAAAATGTACTCAGGTGAGGATAAAAAAAAAAAAAAAATCTGTTTTAAAAAAAAAAACAAAAAACTCAATGTCACTTATCATCAGAGAGATGCAAGTTTAAATCACAAGACCACCTCACACCTGTCAGAATGGCTATCATCAATAAATCAACAAACAACAAATGTTGGCAAGGATGTCGAGATAGGGGAACCCGCATACATTGTTGGTGGGAATGCAGACTGGTGCAGCCACTGAGGGAAAACAGTATGACTTTTCCTTAAAAAATTAAAAATGGAATTGCCTTTTGACTCAGAGATTTCACTTCTGGGAATACAGCCTAAGAATCAATCCCAAAATACCAATTTGAAAGAAGATATGTACCCCTATGTTCATAGCAGTGAAACATAGGCATGGATACATGAACAGACTGACAGCTGTCAGAGGGGAGAGGGAGCGTTGGGACTGGATGAAAGAAGGTAAAAGGGTTAGTCAAAAAACGTATATGCCAAACTCATGAAGACAGAAAACAGTACAATCAGCCCTCGTTTATCGCAGTTAATCAGTTCCAGACTACCGTGATAAATGAATTTCCATGAAGTAGGATTCTTTATGTTCAAATATTTGAAAAAACCGTGATAGAGTGAAGCCGTGAAAGTCGATTCGCGAAGTGGCGAAGGACAACTGTATGGTAATGGCCAGAGGGAAGGGAGAGCAGGGGCTGGGTGGAGGTGGACAAAGATGGATAAATGGGAACATCTGTAATGGCATCAACAATTAAAGGAAAAAAGTGATGCATACAACAGCACATACAATAAAGTTTGTACTCTATTTTATTTAAATACATATTATCCAAATGCAAACTCTGGTTTTTCAAGTTTGAGCAGTATGCAATTAGCTTGCACTGTGCACTCAACCTATCTAAGCTTAAAGTGAGAAAGCTATACTAAAGGGGTTCAGAAAAAAGAGATATTGTCGTTTAACATTCATCAGCATGGCAAATACTGTCATTCCCCCAAATCTTCCTTCCAGAGTTTGTGTGAAAAGAATATAGAATTGTGTTCTGTATCTTTTGAAGGTAAAATAGAGCATCCAAGATATATATCTAACTTATATATATCCAATTTAACAGAGAACCAAAAAGACCAATAAATATCTGACATTAGATTTAATAGTTAATATTTTTTAAAGTGACCATACCAAAAACACATCATTTAGCAGAAGAGAAAGTTTATTCACATTTTTAAAATATTGATAGCTAAATTTCTAGAGCTTAACTTCATTATTCCTCTTAATTTCCCAGCACTGAAGTAAATGTCATGTCAAAAATTACCACAAAATACAGGCGATAAGAACACCATATTGGATTTTTAGTGGTAAATGCACACATCCTTATTTTTTGCTACTGACAAGTAGCTGTTGGCAAAGATCTAATTCATTCTTAAGTTACAGAGACAAATAATTTTTATCATTGACTCAAAATAGAAAGTGGAGATATCTAATTTTCATGCAGTACTAGAGTCAATTGACAAGCAAACTCTCAAGTTCACAGCACAGTAAAACTAGCTTCATTTTAAAAACAATACAAAATTATAGATGTTAAAAATATAATAGATCTTACCTACTATAGTAATATAAGTTTCAATACCTGACACCTAGAGATTAAGTTTTCAAGATCTGTAGGCCCCACAGTCACAGTCAAATACCCCTGGTGTTCTAGGTGAGAACGCCTAGACTCCGAGTGCTTAAGCAAGTGACTGGTTCCTACTCCCTCTCTCCCAACAGAAACAATTATCCAGCGAGTGCAGATTACAGATGGTTTTCTCTACTTTATGAAAAATCCCCACATCAGAGAAATAATTGGAAATATTGTTCTTCCACTTGGTCTACACGATCAACTTTATTTTTGAAAAAGATACACTGTAGCTCACAAATTCCAGTTCTGCTACCATCTGGTCACCGTCTTATACAGGTGAAGCTGAATCATGAAGGAGTAGATGGGGTTAGTGGTTGTACATAATAGGTGCCATCATTCATTAAGTCTTTATTGGAAAACTTTGGGATGTGACACAACCACCAGCTTACACAAGAGAAAAACACAATCTAAATTATTGGCAGCAGGAATGATGAATCACCCAAACTGAGTTAAAAAGAAACAAAAGTACACCACTAACTATATTGTATCTTAATGGCCACAGAAGCTTTTTGTTAAAATTGTATGCTTTCCCTAGTTTTATACACTCATTTTGTAATAAATTTTAATAAGCCTGATATAAATTTCAAGGCAGTATTTTAGTTTAGATTAACTATATGATAGTACACTCTACACTTACTTGGTAACTTGCTAGTTACCCACGGTTAACAAATGTGTCTTATGACATGGTTTTTAAATGCTTTAAGTGATACGCTTTAACCCAACAACAACAACCCAACAAGCCCACACACAAAAAAACCCTCTACTTAAATAAACAACACAAGTAGGAAAATGACCTTAAGCTTAACTTTAAACACAGATATAAATATGGCAAAGGAGAGCAGTCCATCACTATTCAGGATGCAGAAGAGTGTTCCCAAGGCGGGCGGGGGGATGGAGGTGCAGGGAAGGCTGGTAAACCTAAGGGGTACTGGGCGAGTGAACAGCGATGACTCGTGTTTTCCGCATTCTGCCACCGTAGGTGGCTCGGTGGTGCGGCTGAGGCCATACCCTATAACCTTCACCCCAGAGAACCCCACCATTTCTCCACGGTGTGCAGAGTCAATTGCTGGAGGAGAAGGGCTGGAAGGCCAGGCTGTACCACTCAGGGATGTCAGACAAGAAATCTTTTCCATCCCCAACCGAAATCGGAGCAATGGGTGTATTTGCGGAATGCATTTCTTAGGAAGGTCCCCTAAGACAAAGGGCTGCGAGTCGGGAACCATCCCGGGGCTGGGAGTGGGACTGAACAACCCAGGCCCGCACCCCCGCAGCCCGCGCAGAGACCGCGCGCGACCGCGCCGCCCACACTCCGGAAGTATTTGAAGACCCCCACCCACCCACCGCGCCTGGGCTGACCCCTCCCCGCCGTACGCCCTCGGCCCGAGCCCTCACCCTGGTGATTGAACAGTCTCCATATCCTGGTGAAGAGAATTCCCATCCTCGGGCAGCGGACCCCCTCCAGCCGCCCGGTCCGCCTGGCCTTCCCCGGCTTAGGCTGACGGGGAGGACAGAGACGCGCCGCAGCCTTCGCCTCTGCTGCCGCTGCTCCCGCGCTGGCCGCCGGCCCGCTTCCCAGGAACCGGAGAGAGGCCGAAGCCCAGGCCGCCTTGCCGCGCGCGAGGGCCCGCCGCTGCCGCCGCGGCACCCGCCTGGCTCGCGGACATCGCCGCCGCGTTGTCTGCGACGAGCCTCGCGGGCCACCGTCCTCCCCCAGCTCCTCTAGGGCGGCCGCGGTGGCAGGGAACACGCAGGAGGGGGAGGCGACGGGCGGGGCGAGCAGGACTAGAAAGCGCAGGCGCGCGGCCGGAGGGGCGGGGCCTGGGAAAGAGCGCCCGACTGGCCGTCGCTTAACCAGGCGGCCTATAGGCGGCGGGACTGAGCCCCGGGATCTAGGCAATGCGGACTGCGGGATTGGGACTGATGGCCCGGACCGCCTGATTTAGCGTCCCCACTGAGTTTTGTTTTCTTCCGCAGAACCGTAATGTAAACATGTTATTGAGTGCCCAGTGCGCATCCCTAACGCTTCACATACACTACACTAGAAGTCCCATGTCCCAGCCCTCAAAGACGTGGGGCTCCAGCAGGAACTTGGAGGGAAGCTTGGCGTCTTTCTCAAACTTCTGCCCCTACACCCAGTGGCTGGCCTTACGCAGACAGTCACCTTATGGCCATCTTTAAACCTCAGGCTCTTCCTTCTCCAAACTCCCTCCACTTTCAGGTCAGCCTTATCCTAGACAATTTTGATTAAGTCACTCCCGTGTTTAAAAACCATCAGAGGCACTAACGCTGTTTGAGCAGGAGCCCAAACACCTTAGATACTCATTGTACTCCACGATATGACCCTAGCTGTTCCTTCCAGCTGTAACTTTCATTATTCCAGGCTGGTTAAACAGCTGATGGAATGTTCCCTCTGCTTTTCCAGTCTTCTTACCTGTACACCTTGAACAGCAGGGTCCTGTGCTATGCAAGTCTCATACTGTATTAATCAACCCTCTAGTGTGGGATATTTAGTTGAAAACTAGAATATAAATGAATCAATAGGTAACTTGGTATCAAAGTTCTTGTCCTGTGTGTCATTTTAAAAAATCCTTTTTTATTTTCCTGTTACAGTTCACATACGATATTAGTTATTAGTTTCAAGTGTACAACCCAGTGATTAGACATTATATAACTTACTAAGTGATCATCCTGATAAATCTCATACCCATCTGGCACCATATTTAGTTATTGGAATATTATTGACTATATTCCCTATGCTGTACTTTACATCCCCATGACTGTAACAACCAACTTGTACTTCTTAATCCCTTCACTTTTTACACCCAATCTCCCAACCCCCCTTCCATTTGGCAACCATCAAAATGTTCTTTTTTTTCAAATTGAATTTATTGGGGTGACATTGGTTGCAAAATCATACAGGTTTCAAAGTGCACAACTCAATAAAACATCATCTGCATACTGCATCGTGTGCCCATCACCCCAAGCAAAGTCTCCGTCCATCCCCATTTTCCCCACTTTTGCCCACCTCCACCTACCCCCCACCCTCCTTTTCTCCAGCCATCACCACACTGTTATCTGTATCTATGTGTTATATATAAGTTTCTTTGCTTAATCCCTTCACTTTCTTTTATTCAGCTCCCTCCACTCCACCCACAGCTCTCAGTCTGTTCCATGTATCCACACCTCTTGTTTCTATTTTGTCAGTTTATTTTATTCATTAGATTCTACAAATAAGTTAGATCATATGGTATTTGTCTTTCTCCAACTGGATTATTTCACTTAGTATAAGCATCTCCAGGTCCATCCACACTGTCTCAAAAGGTAAAAGTTCCTTTTTTATGGCCAAGTAGTATTCTATTGTATAAATGTACCACAGCTCTTTTGGGGGTTTATTTATAGATTCTCTGTTCTGTTCCATTGATCAATATGCCTGTTCTTGTGCCTGTAACAGACTGTTTTGATTACAAAGGACTTGTAGTATAGTTTGATATCAGGTAGTATGATATTTGTAACTTTGTTCTTCCTTCTCAGGATTGCTGAGGCTATTCGAAGTCTTTTTCTGGTTCCATATAAATTTTTGGAATACTTTTTCTATATCTGTGAATATGTCATTGGTACTTTATTTTATTATTTTATTTTTTTCCGTTTATTAATGTTAGAGAGAGAGAGGAAGTGAGAGGGAGAGAGAGAAACATTGATGAGAAAGAATATGGATTGGCTGGCTCCTGCATGCCCCCCACTGGGATCGGACCCACAACCTGGGCATGTGTCCTGTCCGGAATCGAACTGGTGACATCTTGGTGCATGAGTCGATTCTCAACCACTTAGCCACACTGGCTGTACTGTCATTGGTACTTTAATAGGAATTGTGTTGCATCTATAGATTGCTTTGGGGAGTATGGATATTTTAATTATGTTAATTCTCCTAATCCATGGGCATGGTATATGCTTCCACTTATTTGTATCTTCCTCAGTTTCTTTCTTCAATAGCTTATACTTTTCTGAGTACAGGTCTTTTACCTCCTTGGTTAAATTTATTCCTAGGTAACTTATGTTTTTGTTGTTGCAATCATAAAGGGGATTTTTTAAACTTCTCTTTCAGATAGTTCATTATTATTGTATAAAAATGCCACTGATTTCTGAATATTAATTTTGGTGTTTTGTTTTTTTGTTTTTTTTTTTACCGACACAGAACACAAAAAGGGATAACTTTTTTTATTTTATTTTATTTATTTATTTATTTTTTACTATGTCATTTTATTTTATTTTATTATTTTTATTTTTATTTTTTTATTTTTTTGTTACAGATATTTTAACTTTTTTACCCCATTGGCAGCCCCCTTCCCACCCCACCCCCGTCCTGTCCCAGGCTTAGTTGTCCATGTCCATTGGTCATGCATACATGCATATACGTTCTGTGGTTTATCTATTCCCACCCCCCCCCACCTCCCTCTTCTGAGGGTTGTCAGTCTGTGCCCTACCTCCATGTTTCTGGGTCTACTGTATTCCTCAGACTGTTATGTTCATTATATTCCGTATATAAGTGAGATCATGTGGTATTTGTCTTTTTCTGCTTGGCTTATTTCACTTAGGATAATACTTTCCAAGTCCCTCCATGTCGTCTCAAAGGATAAGAGATCTTTCTTTCTTAACGCTGCATAGTACTCCATTGTGTATATGTACCACAGCTTTTTTATCCATTCGTCTACTGATGGACACTTGGGCTGTTTCCAGATCTTAGTTATTGTAAATAGTGCTGCTATGAACATGGGGGTACATATATTCTTCCTGATTGGTGTTTCAGGCTTCTTAGGGTATATTCCTAGAAATGGGATCACTGGGTCAAATGGCAGTTCCATTTTTAATTTTTTGAGGTAACACCATATTGTTTTCCACAGCGGCTGCACCAGTCTTCATTCCCACCAGCAGTGTATTAGAGTCCCCTTTTCTCCACACACTCGCCAACACTTGTTGTTTGATGATTTGTTGATGGCGGCCATTCTGACAGGTGTGAGGTGATACCTCATTGTTGTTTTAATTTGCATCTCTCTGATGATTAGTGATGTTGAGCATTTCTTCATATGTCTCTTGGCCATTTGTATGTCCTGTTTGGAGAGGTGTCTATTCAGCTCCTCTGCCCATTTTTTAATTGGGTTCTTTGTCTTCCTTTTGTTGAGTTGTATGAGCACTCTATATATATTGGAAATTAACCCCTTATCTGATACATCATTGGCAATGATGTTCTCCCATACAGTGGGTTGCCTTTCCATTTTGATGATTGTTTCTTTTGCTGTGCAGAAGCTTTTGAGTTTGATGTAGTCCCATGTGTTCATTTTCTCCTTTGTTTCTGTTGCCTTAGGTGATGTATCAGTGAAAATTCTGCTCCGTATGATGTCCGAAATTTTGTTTCCTACATTTTCTTCTAGAATTTTTATGGATTCACGGGTCACATTTAGGTCTTTTATCCATTTTGAGTTTATTTTTGTGTATGGTGTAAGTTGATGGTCTAGTTTTATTTTTTGGCATGTAGCTGTCCAATTTTCCCAACACCATTTATTAAAGAGGCTGTCTTTACTCCACTGTATGCTCTTGCCACCTTTGTCAAATATTAATTGAGCGTATTGCTTTGGGTCCATTTCTGGGTTTTCAGTTCTGTTCCACTGGTCTATATGCCTGTTCTTGTGCCAGTACCAGGCTGTTTTGGTTACAGTCGCTTTGTAGTATAACCTGATATCTGGTATTGTGATCCCACCTACTTTGTTCTTCTTTTTCAAGATTGCTGTGGCTATTCAGGGTCTTTTTTGGTTCCATATGAACTTTTGAAGTATTTGTTCTAGTTCTATGAAATATGTCGTTGGTATTTTGATGGGGATTGCATTGAATCTATAGATGGCTTTAGGTAGCATGGACATTTTAATGATGTTAATTATTCCAATCCATGAACAGGGTATGTGCTTCCACTTTTTTATATCTTCCTCTATTTCTTTTTTCAATGACCTGTAGTTTTCTGCAAATAGGTCCTTTACTTCTTTGGTTAAGTTTATTCCTAGGTATCTTAATTTTTTTGGCGCAATGGTAAATGGGATTGTTTTTTCAGTTTTTCTTTCTGTGAGTTCATCATTGGTGTACAAGAATGCCGTAGATTTCTTGACGTTAATTTTGTATCCTGCTACTTTGCCAAATTCATTTATTAAGTCTAGTAGATTTTTGATGGAGTCTTTAGGGTTTTCGATATATAATATCATGTCATCTGTGAATAATGACAGTTTCACTTCCTCCTTTCCAATTTGGATCCCTTTTATTTTTTTTTTTCATGTCTGATTGCTGTTGTTAAGACTTCCAGTACAATGTTAAATAAGAGTGGCGAAAGTGGACATCCCTGTCTTGTTCTGTTCTTAATGGAAATGTTTTTAGTTTCTGTCCATTGAGTATGATGTTGGCTGTAGGTCTTTCATATATGGCCTTTATGATGTCGAGATATGATCCCTCTATTCCCACGTTGCTGAGCGTTTTTATCAGAAATGGATGCTGGATTTTGTTGAATGCTTTTTCAGCATCTATTGATAT